GAGTAACTTTTATAAGCATTAAAATTTAAACATAATTATAATCATTAAAATAACTAAGTTACTCTTTATCAACTATCCTTATTTGGTCATATACTATTTCTATTATTATTATTATTATTATTAAAATTATTATTATTATTATTAATAAAATTATAATAGTTTTATTAGTGCATTAGTTTTATTTAATAGTTATGTAATTCTATTTGATTATTAATTTAATTTATGCTCAAACTCGGCTTGAATAAAATAGATATATGAACTCTATTTTTTTAGTGTTCAAATATATTTAAAAAATTGCAATGAAAATGTTTAAATTTTAAGATAAATAAAATTTATTTCTATAATTTACGAGTTATTGATAGACTCGAGTCCGGATCAAACCGAATACCACTATGCTCGAACTCAGCTTGAACATCTATTCGAACTCAAAATCTAGCTCGTGTTCGAGTTAAAAAAGCTTCTTAAGCTCAGATCACTAAATTAAATTCGAAATCACGCTCGAATTCCCGTAGTTCGAAAAAACTCAATTCGATTACGGCCCTAAACAGCCTAAGCTAAACTTTTTGTTTGCAATAACAATTTTTTTCCTGCTAAGCCCACCCCACTCTTCATTCCTGGATCCGCCCCTGCACCAGCAGGATGCCTCCATCAATTTCCAAGGCCAGACACGGCCCTACAACTGCTAAGGTGTTGTTCTCCTCTCTTGAGACTTGTTGGATAATACATTCTTCGAAACAAGTCAGTAGACTTTTTGATGATGTCCAGGTAAACCGTCATTTTTTATCCTTTGCCCTCTTGTGGTGATTTCAGTAGGATCCCCAATTAGAGTAGAACTTACTGCTTGCTCTTCTTCCAAAATGCTCCTAAGCACCCAAAAGACTCCAAAGGTACGTTTTGGTGGAACCATCACATTGTCTGTGTACACTTCCACAGTTTTCCCAAATTGATCTTTGAACATCAGCGTCACTAGTCGTTGAAAGTTGTTCCTTGCATTGTAAGTCCATAAGGTATTATCAAGCGCAATGAGATGACATCAGAGGTAGTGACGTTTGGCATTTGATCAGTTGAAAAGATGACATGTTTCGTTTCGTCCTCCCTAACATTCAATTGCCTCTTGAATTCCATCATTAACGTTGAGCTATGATCTTCCATTCATGATAATTTTTCTTGCACGTTTCTCACGGACAGTGCCAAATTGTTTAAGCAATTTTTCTTAAACTAAAACTAATTAAAAGAAATATGTGTATTGAATGGATTTCGTTCAAGAATAACAGAAAAATTAAGAAGTAGGCTAGAAATCAGTAGTATTTGGTGCAATCGAGTGAGAATGAATATGATTTACTATAGCCTGAGTTTCAATCCTATTTATAGGAAAAGTAATTAATGCCCTTGCGTGTTTCGTACGTTACTGGCGGTTTGGTCTGATGATTTCGTCTGTTGTGACAGTTTCATACCCGTCATAAAGATTGGTAAGCTTAAATTAATTAACTTCCCCTTAATTACGTTAATGATTGTATTAATGCATAAAAACCATCCTAATAGCCAACATTAAATCTTATAAATATATACCATTAACTTCCATGATCAATTCCCATAAATATAGAATCAAACCGTCAAATACTTGCTCTTGCACCCTTAAGTCTCGCCAAGTTTCTCAAAAACACTTACCTAGGGGTGGTTCGGTACGGTATACCGAATATTTTCTCTCATACCTTTGTCGTACCAAAACTTTCGGTATACAAAATTTATATACCATTACCTTACCGAAGTTTCGGTATACCGCATTTCGGTATACCGCATTTCGGTATACCGAAGTTTCGGTTCGGTAACAGTACGGTATTGGTAAATTACCATGCATGTCTTCCAATACAACGAATTATCATAAACTAACAAAATATACTAAATCGGTGTTACTAGCGACATATTTAATCCATTATTAGAATGTTACAAAATACAATCAATAATCTATTGATGTCATATTCAATATTGAACAATAATTATTATTAGTATATTTAAGCAGTTCAACATGCCACGTATTAAAAAATAACACATTCTCTTAAAATAACTTGAACAATATATATGTATAATTATATGAATAGTGATATCTAAACTAAATAAATAAAACTATTCAAACAACATGAATATGAAATCATTTATCCCTAATATGATATTGTGTATTTAGTCATTTTTATAGTTTTTTTTAAATATTTGAGCAAGACTTGCGGACAAAGTTGTGTGACTCGACTTGCGGAATCCTTATGTAGATATACTCATCACATAAGTGTATCACTCTTCATCGTCAGCTACTCAGCGGTTCAATCATCGTCAGCTACTCAGCGGTTCAATCATCGTCAGCTACTCAGCGGTTTAATCATCACATAAGTGTATCACTCTTCATCGTCAGCTACTCAGCGATTCAATCATCGTGAAAATGCATTGGTTTCTGGACATTAGTACATTACTCGTTAGTCATTAGGGTTAGTTTGCTTAAATGTTACGTGGTAGAAACCTAGAAGGTTATAGTGGGTTTGACAAATTGGGCCTTTAATTTTGTATTTTAGTATTTCTCACCAACCTAAGTATAAATTTTGGGCTTCAAAATTGTAATGGACTTTTACAATATTTTAGAATTTAAAGTAATTGTTGGGTAGGAAGTTGGTACGGTATAATACCGGTATACCGCGGTATTTGAAAATATTTACCGTTACCTTACCGAAATAAATCGATACGGTATGTGAGGTATACCGATTTTTCGGTATTTTCTCTATTCATGTCTTTATCTTTGTTGCTCCTCATGGATAACACAATCAACTGGATTCTCGACTCGCCGATCAATGTAAAATCTAAGGTAAAACTCATTTTTTCCTGAAAGAATCTAAGGTAAAGCTCTATTATGTTAGTTCTAACTCTTAATAGTAACGCAATCATATATATCGTCATAAATTTAAACAATTCTACACAGTTCATTTACAATCACTACATTTCATATTATTATTAGTAATTTAAGTCTCTAATTATATACTATCGTAATATATATTAGCAGTAATGTATACCATTACATTATTCATCTAAAGAATGCACATTTAATGTGTAAAACATAGAGATGTTTTTTGATAATCCTAACCGGAAATAACATTTCACATCACTCCTATGTGTGTATTATTACACCGTAAATCTATTAATTAAATACCCCTCCAACAAACGAATATAATATTAAAAAGTTTATAAAAGTTAATGTTATGAAAAAATAACTCATGTAGGTGGATGTAGATAATAAATTGAATTATGTATTTCAGACATATAATGATCGTTGAATTTATTGAAATAATGTATTTTATTACTAAATGTGTGAATTGATGTTTTAAATAACATGATTTGTACGCCGTAATATTTATATTAGTGGATAAAGATACTAAATTGAATTATCTAAGGATCAATTGTCAAAATAGGACTAAAAACTTGTCACCTTGCACAAATAAGACCAAAAAGTAAACTATGTTTTGATATGACTAATTATGTGTGTTGAAAAATATACCCCTCTTGCTATTGAAATGTTTTAATTCATAATAAAATAATAAAAATTCATAAAACTACAAAAAAATAATAAAAATATTTAAATAATAATCATTAAAAAAAAATATTTTTTAAATAAATAAAAAACGCAAAACAAACACCGCCGCCTCTACCGCCCCACCACCACCAACTCCAGTAAACAAGGGGAAAAAATGTCACATTCATCATGAATGCCATATTTATGGTAAATTCAATGAAAAGATTGGCATTCAAAAAGAATAATATGACATTTTCTTGGCATTTAAAAAATGACAGTTTTTAGAAAAAATGACATTTTTTACATCGGTTGGAGGATGTGTGCAGGGAGGCAGTACACGTGGCGGGAAAGGCAACCCTTTTTATATGGAGTTTTACTATTTTTTATTATTTTTTTAAAAAAAATATGAAAAATAAAAAAATTAATTAAAAAAAAACTAAAAAACGCTACAAAAAAATCATCTCTGCCTCTGCCACCCCAACACCATCATCTCCGTCTCCGAGGAAAAAAATTCAACATGCATATTTATGGCTGATTCAATGAAAATTTTGAAATTCTCAAAGAGTAATATGTCATTTTTTTGGCATTTTCAGAAAAAATAGCATTTTTACACCGGTCAGATGTGGTGGTGCTGGGAGGCAGTACAGGCGGTGGGAAAGGCATCCATATTTTTTTACTCCCTCCGTCCCGGTGATTTCTTCCAACTTTCCTTTTTGGGCCGTGCCAATTAATTCTTCCAACTTTCACTTTTGGAAAAAATATGTGGTTCACATTCATTCACCTTTTTCTTACGTAATTACAACTACACATTTCCACTTTATTCTCACTTTCTAAATTTGCGAGCCAAGTTTCACTAGGAAGAACTCATTGGGATGGAGGTAGTATTTTGTATGGAGTTTTAATGCTCATATTTTTTATTAATTTATTAATTTTTTTTAATTTTTTTAATATAAATATTTTATTAGTATTTTTATTATTTTTCTATGATTTTTTTAAAAAAAATCGAATTTATTATGAATTAAACATTTAATTATGACTTTTTACTACATTTTATTCATATTTAAAGGAGGGTTAAGAATGAAATGAAAAAATAGATATTTCCCATAAGAGTAATATAGTCCTGTTTTGAAATAAAAACGTAACAATAACAAGTTATGTTTTGGTTTTTTGGCATAATTTTACTCCTATTTAGAGTAATTTGCTAAATGAAAATCAATGCCATACTATAGGGGGTGTTTGGATTTGATTCTTAAAACTGCTTCTGCTCCTTCAGAGAGCAGAAGCAGAAGTTGGAGTGTTTGGGTAAAAGTGCAGAAGTGATTCTGGTGTTCTAATTTACTCCTAGAATCAGTTTTTTAGAAGCTGGGGGTGACTAGCTTCTGAAAACTGATTCTGATTCTGCTTTTGCTTTAAAAAAACTAATAAGAATCGGTTCCAAACACCCGTGTAGCCCATTTCCTCTTCATCCAGGCCTAATCAAAGCCAGAAGAACTTCCCGTCCGGCGAGTCGCACTGTCGCAGTCGCAGAGACGCCAGCCAGCGGCTAAGAGGCCTGCAGCCCCGCACACCACACCCGCCTCCCGCCTCCCGCCGCCGCATCCCCTTCCGCCGCACCCGCCTCACGCCGCCGCTGCCTGGTAATCTGCTTCTCACTTCATAGCTTCTTGGAGTTCTGGCTGCCTTCGTTAATCTCCCCAACAGGTAAGTCATAAGTGTTTATTCTTTAATTTTATTATTTTAATTTATGTAGCTAATAGCTTGAAATCTTGATTCTTGAATGTTCTGTTTAAGTGCTTGACTGTTTTAGTGTTTCTATGTTTAAATGCTTTACTAATATGAATTTGTAGGAATGTGAAGTGTGAATTTGTTCTACTAATGGTGAACAATTTGTGTCATTGTGTGATTTCATTTGTGAAATTGAACAAAACTAAGACAAAGATGGTTGGAGATATCTTGTGCCATACTTGTTTGGTATTTACAATTTTTTAGAATTCTAAACAGATAAGTTGGTTGAACAAATATAAGACAAAGAACTAAAACAAATATGGTGTGTATAACTAAAAAATTCAGTTGTGCTGCAAATACTCGACCACTTTTCAAACTTTCAGTTTACCTTCATATCGTCAGTTGATATCAGAACAGTTTAAACAAAATTTTAGTCAATCAAATTTTCAAACTTTTCAGTTGACCTTTTTCTTTTTTTCTTTTTGATCGTCAAAACAAACTGCTTATATTAACATCATTAGGAATCGGATCGTTACAACAAACTCAAAAAGACCAATCTTGACAACAACTATCCCTAACCAACTAGCACTATCAACCCTACGGCTAGACTCAGAGATGATCACCCCTGAAAGAGCAATACAAATCGCTAACCATCAAGCTGGTGTGACACAGCAATCACATAAAACTAAAGACATCAACAAAAAACAGAGCAACACAAAACATAACACAAAAATAAAACCATAAAAAATTAAATAACTGATAAATCTTCCAAACCCTAGCACCTCAATCGCTCCTACGTAATCATCTCAGTTATTTTTTTTTTTGCCAATTTAACATTATACGTTTTCATCTCTAAATAATGAAGCATATTTCTAACTTCTAACTAAGTGTACGTATAGCTTGATACTTGCTCTCAAGCTCAAATGAATCACACTTATAGATGGGCATTGCTTGACAAGGAAATATATGGAGTATCGACCATTGTATTGCATTGCATTTATGCTTACAGTAAGCAATCAATTAGGAGGTCTTAAGAGAGAAAGTCAGAGTTTGTTTAGTTAGAGATACTAACTTCAATTGTTTTTTGTTGGACTTAAATATAAGTTACACATTTGCAGCTACAAGTTTGCAAAACGGTGTTCCATTTCATGTTTTCTTCAAAAGTTTTAGTTCTTTACTTCTTTCAATAGAATTAATTACTTCATGAATATTATTTTAATCCAAATTCCGAAACATGCAATTAGTTAATTTGATATAGAAAGTTTGTGATTTGTTACATGACTTTAGTGCTGGACTCACAGAATCACATGTGTAAATTATCGACATTGAAATCCTATGATTGTGGAGCAAACCTGAATAGGTATCCAAAGTAGACCCAACTCAGTATAGTCTCGGTTCCTAAAAAATGGAACAACACTGATTCTGCTCCCATTTATTCTTTTTTTAGAAAAAGTATTTATAAAAAAAGTATTAACCATGCTAGGGTCAGAACTTATCTCGAATTTCTGGTCTCGGTATCAGATATGGAGAGTGGGGCCATGAATAGGTTGGTCTAGAACCACACTGAAATTGGTCTAGGTACACCCTTATATTCTTCACAAATAAATATTTACTATCACAATTTTATATTATTACATATTTTTGTATGAATATAAACTTCATCCCGTGCAACACACGGGTGAAAATTCTAGTCCTAGTAAATGTACTGTGCACGGATAACTAAATAAACATATTAAAATTGTAAACATATACTACGTATAAGTTTAAGAAATTAATTATTTCGTCACACAATAATCCAGTATTACATCCAATAATCCAATAAACATATACCTCAACATCATGGAAAATACATTCCCAGGGGTTAGTCACAGTTGTATGAAGGCAAACCATAAGAACAGATTGGCGGTACTCTAGTCGCCCAATTTCTCCTTGATGTGTTAAGCTCTTGAACTTTATTGAACAGCATCTTCATAGATATGCTGTAGCTGCAACTCTGAAGCAGAAAGCTTTATTAGAAAATATAAAAAATTATGACAATTTTTATTTACATTTACATGCTCCGTATTATTAATATGGATAGACTTATGTTGGCATTTTAGTGTTGAAGTACCTTCACACTTTTTCGCACTGGACTGTGAAATGATTTTTTATGATGAAGCAGGCATTATATAGCGCAGTAGCAAGTGGTTAACTCAGACATGGTGGGGTGAACGTGTGAAGTTGGTTACCAGTAACGTGTAGAAATTGCTACTTGGTGAATTCTTGTCCGCCATCTGCAATGATTTTGAATTTACTGCTGGTGTTCTAAATTCTTTGGAGCATGTACATGCACATGATTAAAGTTGTCCATCGCCAACTTTTCTTATCTTATGCCCGTGCATTTTTTTGCATGTTCACATGTTGTATTAAGTGTTTCAGGTGGGAACCGTTAATGTGCACACAGTTCCCTTGTTATATATGTATATACAGATAAAGATTCCCAAAAGGGCTAATCTTTCTGTTTTGTAGGAGTACACTGTCTTCATGATCTTCAGAAGAAGCATTTATCATCTGCTCCCATCAGCTCATCTGATTATTCATCCAATTCCCATAGCAAACAATTTAAAGTTTTTCTCCACCTCAGGTTCTTTCCATTCTGGGTTGAGAACAGATTCTGATATTGGCATCCTACTTGCTAAATTGTCTCCTGGGAGCAGTGAGGATGAGGTTTTCATGTCTCTTCAATCCAACCCAGACTGTGATGCCATCCAGCCTAGTCATAACCTTGTTGGGAAACTGCTTCATTGCTTCAAAGATGATTGGAAGTCAGCATTGGGAGCTTTTAGATGGGCAGAATCACGACCCGGCTACAAACCCTTACCAGAATTCTACGATAAAGTGCTGGACATACTCGGGAAAATGAAAAAAATGGATAAAATGTGTGCTTTTTTAGATGAAATGTCTGAAAATCAGGATCATATTGTTACTCTAAGCACCATAGGGAAAGTCATGAGAAGGTTTGCAGGAGCTGGGGAATGGAAAGGAGCAGTTAGGGTATTTGATGAGTTAGGCAAATATGGGTTTGAGAAGAACACTGAATCCATGAATTTGCTACTTGATGCACTCTGCAAAGCAAACAGAGTTCTCCAGGCACGTGAAATCTTTTTGGAGCTTAAGTCGCACATTCCACCAAATCTAAACACTTTCAACATATTTATTCATGGGTGGTGCAATGCCAACCGGGTGGATGAAGCTCATTGGACGGTTCAGGAGATGAAAGGGCATGGGTTTCACCCTTGTGTTATCAGCTACTCGACGATAATCAATTCCTATTGTAAGCAATCTGAGTACCCCAAAGCCTTTGAGCTTCTTGATGAAATGAAGGCTCAAGGGTGCAAACCAAATGTGGTCACCTTCACCACAATGATTTCTTCATTGACAAAGATAGAGAGGTTTGAGGAAGCACTGAAGGTTTGTGACAGGATGAGATCGTATGGTGTTGAACCTGATACGCTTTTCTATAACGCATTGATTCACACATTAGGTAGGTCCTGCAAGCTGAAAGAGGCTATAGATGTCCTCAAAGTTGAGATGCCGATTTATGGTGTGAAACCAAACACTTCAACTTATAATTCTTTGATTGCGATGTTTTGTTATCACAGACAAGAAGAACCTGCTTTAGAGTGTCTGAGAGAATTGGAAAGATCGCCACATTGTGAACCTGATATGCAGTCATACTATCCTGTGCTCAAGCTTTGCTTTAGAAATGGGAAGACTGATGATTTATTGCCCAAGTTACTAGATGACATGGTTAATGAGCATCATCTGAGTTTGGATCTATCAGGGTATTCACTTTTGATCCATGGGTTGTGCAGATCAAATAAATGTGAGTGGGCATATAGGCTTTTTGAAGAGATGGTAGCCAAAGAGGTCACACCTCGATATCAGACATGCACTCTTCTTTTGGAGGAAATTAAACAGAAGAATATGTTTCATGCTGCCGAGAGGATTGAAGACTTCATGAAGAAAATGAAAAAATCCTCTTGAACTAGTGTATAGTTTTTTTGAAGCAAGTGCCTCACCAATTCTGTGATGAATAAAAGTCAAAAGTTACTATCTTGTGTATCGTTGTCTTGTTAATGATATACTAAATTTGAGGCTCTAAACATGGTATTTTGCATCAGATTTGCGTATTTGGGATAAGATCCAGAAAATTGTGGCAATAGAAGTCGTAGGAATGTATCGCTTACAGGACAGATACATGTGAGTACTGTGTGAATATGTCAATGCTCTTCTTTTTTGGATGTTATTTTTTCTGTAGTGGAGAGAAATTGTGTGATAGTACCTCATCTTTAATAAAATAAAAATATAGAGCTCAAAATTTATGAAATTTGACCACACAAGGGAGATTCAGAAGTTTATCTAAGACGAAAGAAGTTTATTTTAGTCTGCAATTCTGCATAGCAATTTATTCTTTAAATTACTGGTTTCATATCCATTGTTCTTGAAGACATGTTTGATCAACTATTTTCAATCATTAGTTGATCAAGTGATAATATCGATTCTTCAATGAAGGCTTTCTGGCCCGTACAGCAGATATATGGAGTATTCCTTAGGAACTCATCTGCTTGGAAATAACTTCTCTGTAACTTTGTCTTCTCAAAAAGCCTTGATTGAAAATGTTTTCTTTCCAAGGGCTGGATTGCTATAGTGATACTTCCCTCATAGATTTGGTACTGACTTATAGTCGAAGGGCTCGTTATATTTAGAGAAAGCTTTGGGTCCGCCGGAAATACTTTTAGAGAAAAGCTACTACGCGTCTCGAGCCATGGTGTTTCTTATTATTTTTCTTTGCAGGTATTTCTCTAAAATTGCTGCTTTGCTTGTTTGGTCCGCTGGAAGTATTTAAGCAACTACAGCTTCAAACAACAAGAATCAAACAAGCTGCCATGTGAGAAGAAAAAAGGACAACAGCCTGTAGTCTTCATGCCACCGCCATAAACCGAAGAAGATATCAGAAATTTCCCCAACAATGTTCGAAAGTATTGTGAGTCTGCCCGTGTTTGTCTATTGCATTTTGTGGTAATTTTACTTGTCACCCTACTTACGATTAGCCTTATATTAATCCCATTTGTTTTAATAAATGTTATTTTGTGTGATAAAAGGACAACTATGAAGAACAACAATCCACTAAAGTCAAGTTTGAAATTGATTAAAATCGATATATTTTTGTTGCGGTTGTTTCTCAAACTTATAAAATTAATGATGTGAATAAGTGGGTAGTCATCGGGATTACCAAACACATTTGTAAAACAAAAGTTCTTTTACCTCTTATACTACTATAGAAGATGATGAAGAGCTCGTGTACTTAGCAGACTCAAAAACTGCAAAGGTGCATCGTAAAGGGAAAGCTCTTCTTAAGCTCACATCGGAGAAAACTTTATCACTAAATGACGTGCTTCATGTGCCTGAGATTTGGACTAATTTAGCTTCCGTTTCTCTCTTGGGAAAAGGTGGGGTTAAAATATTTTTTGATTGTGAAAAAATATCTTGACAAAAAATGAAGTGTGCAAATGCTATTGTAAGAATGAATGTTATGTGCTTAGTGTTTCGAAATTAATGCATGATAATGCTTTTTCTTATTTCATTGATTTATATGATTTGTGACATGCAAGATTAAGGCATGTGAGTAGTTCTTATATTAAATTAATGCATGACCGTGGTTTGATTTCTAGTGAAAATAAGATAACACTAGAAAAATGTGATGCTTGTGTAGAAATTAGAATTAAAAATGAAATTGATTCTATCAAACAAAATAAAATTAGAGTTTTAACTGATTTGCCTAAAAGATGCAAACAAATCCGATGTAAATGGATTTTTAAAAAGATTTTTGATCCAATTGGTTCAATTGACAAATATAAAGCGGGGCTTGCGGAAAATATTTTTTTAATAAACAAGATGTTACTTTTTCTTCCATTAGAACTTTAATTGTCTTGTCTTCTATTCACAAACGTTATATCCATCAAATAGATGTTAAAACAACATTTTTAAATGGTGAGTTAGAGGAGGAGATCTATATGGTGCAATCGAAGGGTCATATAATTCCTGATCAGAAACACAAAGTGTGTAAAAGTTGATAAAATCTATATAGGATGAAATAATCTCCCTAACAATGGGATCAGAAATTTGATAAAGTGTTATTTGCCCATGATTTTACCTCACTTGAAGTTAGGGGTGGATCCGGGTCGGGTCTGGCCCTCGGCGGGCTTTTTTTTGGAAAGAGAGAACCGGAACCGGCCCGGGTAGGCGGCGGTTCCGGGCCGGGCCGATTCCGATTCAATTTTTTTATTTCTTATTCATTTCACCCACCATCCCTCCCCCCCCCCAACCCCAAACCCCTCAGAAATACTTAGCCCAACTCAATTAAACCCAGCCCAAACAAAAAAAAAAACAGAAAAAATAAAAAAGCCCGGACCGGACCTGAACCGGCCGGGCCGGTTCTCATAAATCAGGGCCCGTGCCCGAACCGCCCTACCCGATCGGTCCGGTTCAAAGACTGAACCGCCCTTTCGTCACCCGGGCCTGTCCGGGCCCGCATAGTAGCAGGTCGGGCCAAACTGGTTTGGGCCACCCCTACTTGAAGTAGATAAGTGCGTATATACTAAAATTGAAAATAATGTATGCATTATTATTTACTTGTATGGGGATGATGTGCTAATTTTGCTAGGAAAGATGCGGATAAAGCAAAATTGGTTTTGTGTATTAAAATCATAAGGAAGGATGATGGTATTTTACTATTTGAAAAGCATTATGCTGAAAACATTGTAAAAAGGTTCTGACATTTCTCTAATACATATTTTAGAGAATGTAGAGGTGAGAGCGAACTAAGGCTTAATATGAACTCATATGATTGGGGAGTATCCCTTATGAACTCATTAGATGAGTTCATATTGATGACTTCCGTCCATAAGTAGATGAGTTCATATTAACCTGCAGGAGTGTCTCTGTATTTTTTCAAATTTGTATTAGTCATAAGGGAAATGTCGAAACCTCTTTAGAAATTTTTAGCATAATTCTCTTGAAATACTCTAGTACCATCATTCTTCATCATGACTTAATGCTCAAAATCAATTTTGATTCACCCAAATCTTTCGTATCAGATTTAGAAGCAAGAAATGAATTTGTCTCATATATTAGCTCAAGGTTGGGCCTAAAAATTAACATATCGTCCACATACAAGTAAATAATAATGCATACACCATTTTTTATGTTAGTGTATACACACCTATCTACTTCAAGTGAGGTAAAATCATGAGCATGTAATACTTCATCAAATTTCTGATTTCATTGTTTACGAGCTTGTTTCAAATCATATAAAGATTTAACCAACTTACACTTTGTGTTCCTTGACCAGAAACTACATGAACCTCCAGTTACACCATATAAATCACCTCTTCTAATTCACCATTTAAAAAGGCTGTTATAACATCCATTTTATAACATCTTGTTTTTAAGAACCTCTCGATACAAAATTTGTGAATAGAAGCCAAGAGAATTAAAGTCCTAATGGAAAAAATTCTCGTTACCGGTGCAAAAGTTAAACTGATCAACTTCTTGAGAAAATTGTGTTGCCACTGTCTCGTTTTATATTTGTCATTTAAATCATCAAAATTAAATTTCTTTTTAAAAATCCAATTGCATCTGATTGGGTTGCATCCTTTAGGCAACTCAGTTAAAGTCCAAGTCTTATTTTATTTGATATAATGAATTTTATTTTGAATTGCCTTAAGCCAAAAGGAGCCTCTTTTGATGGAATGACTTGTGAATAAGTAACAAGTTCATTATTAACAAGGTATGTACATAAATGATTTTCAATGTTTTTTTTTATTCTTGGCCTCTTGCTTCTTCTCAAAGTAGAGGATTCATTATTAATATTTAATTTTCTATTAAAGGTTCACTATTACAATATGGCGCAACAGTCTTGTACTCTAATTTCAAAGGAAACACACTCTAAAAAAATCCAACATTTTTTGTTTTAACAATAGTATTGTAATTAAGCATGTCTCTCTCCAAAATAAGAAATTTATAAGCAACATTAGATTAAACATAATCAATAAATATGCATTCAAAACTTTTAGAACCAACTTTCCTCTTATGATCATACAATAAGACTTTAGCCAAGCACTATCACACTTACAAATATTTCAAATTAGGTGCATGATATTTCCACAATTTAAAGGGTGTTTTCTTACTATGCTTACAAGAAATTCTATTTTGTAAGTGAGAATAGCCTCAACAGAGATTATCTGGCGCATCGAAATTAATTAAAAACGCATTCATCATTTCTTTTAATTTCCTACCTTTCTTTTAGCTATTTTATTGGATTCAGGTGAATACGAGGGAGTTATCTCATGAATAATCCATCCCCTTTCACAAAAATAATTTATTAAAATATATTCACCCCCTCTATCCAATCTCTCTCTCTTAATCTTCTTATTTATTTGATTTTCCACCTCAGATTTATACACTACAAACTTGACAAAAACCACATTCTTATTTCCAAGCAAATAAACTTTGGTGTATCTCGAAAAATCATCTATGAAGGTGACATAAACTTCCTACAACCTCTAGTCATGGTATTTACTATATCACCTAAATTTTTGTGAATCAAGTCAAGCAATTTCAATTCCCTATATATGGAAGGACATGATTTTTTGGTTTGTTTAGATTCTACACAAATATCGTATTTTTGTAGGGTCATCTTCTTTCCACTAGAAATCAAACCACGATTATTCAACAATTTAATATAAGAACCGCTCACATGTCATAATTGTGGATGCCGCACATCAATCAAATAAGCAGAAGCATAATAGTTTTTGCCCATAAAATCATCTTTTTTGTCATAACAATATTGTTACAATCAAAAAATACTTTCACTCTAGCTTTTCCTAAAAGAGAAACAAAAATTAAATTAGTCTGAATCTCGGGCACATGAAGCATGTCATTTAGTGATAAAAATTTCCCAATGTGACTTTAAGAAAACTATCTCTTCATCATGCACTTTGACAGTTTTTTTTAGTCTGCTAAGTACACAATCTATTCACCATCTCCTATCTCCTACAAGTAATATATATAGGAGGTAAAAACATTTGTTTTTACAAATGTGTTTGACTGTTTAGTAACCCCCAGAGTCTCCTATCCATCTATTTACATCATTAAATTTACAATTTTGAGATATAACCGTAACGGAAATATCAATTTTAAACTTGACTTTAGTGGGTTATTGTTTTTCATAGTTATCGATCTTTTTATCACCAAAAACAACTTTTAATATAATACTAGTGTGGGGTGTCTTTATATAATATAAAGTAACACTGTTGAGATCACAATTGGGGGGAAAAGTCCCGCCCAAAATGAAGACATAATGGTGAATTAATGAGAAAAATATATTTGGTAATGTATTAACTAAGCAATAGCCAATTAAAAAGTGACAACGCCAGGTTCATAAAAAAGTACTCCAATACGTATCAAAGAAGAGAAAATTTTACTCCCTTGGTTCCATAAGATTCTTCCCACTTCCCTTTTTGGGCCGTCTCAAAAAATTCTTCCTACTTATCGATCATTTTTGGACAATTTGTGTGGTTCACATTCATTTCACCTTTTTCTTACACAACTACAACCACACATTTCCACTTTATTCCACTTTCTTAATCTTCATGCCAAGTCAAAGTGGGAAGAATTTTATGGGACGGAAGGAGTACAAAATATAACAAAGAAGAGAAATAAAATCCCATATTTTTTTAAAGTGTTGTAACCTTTTTATTTGTACTCCGATTGTTAAAAAAGTATATAAAAATTCATAATTTTTTATTATCTTTCATATAATACCAATATTGAATATACATAAAAACACTTTAAAAAGTAAAAACTTCTATTTTTTAACTACTATAATATATTATTTGTACTCTGATTGTTACAAAAAATATCAAAATTCATAACTTTTTATTATCTTTCGTATGACACCAATGTTGAATATCTTTATATAATATGAAATACAAAATTGCTATTTGTTGAAGGGAAAATTCTCACTCAAAAATTTATCTTTGTTATTACATTTATATCATTTAGTGTAACAAAGTTGGGGCAACTATTGAAGCAAATTAAGGACATTATGGGGAATTAAAGTGGAAAGGAGAAACAAATCCCTCCCATGTACTTTTGTTAATCTTTATAAAATTAGTAAGATTAGTTTTTTTTTTTTGGAATAGTAAGATTAGTTATTAAATTGGATTTAGATAGGTTGGAAAATAGTATCACAGATAAAAATTTACCTAAATTATGAATACCCAAATCATGGTAAGAAATGTTGTGATCACATTTCTTAAACAAAGAATTGGTGTGATCACATGCATCATATATATGTTTATGGTAAGATGAAATGTATAAAATTTGACTCTACACAAACTGTGGACGTATGATAGGGTGTAAATTGTATGCACATTTATACACACTTATGACCACTTATTTAAAAAGTACTATGGAATCGCCCTAGGCACGAATATATAGAGCGAAAAAACAGGCTCGAATTTTTTTCAACATATG